CCCTAAACCTTAAGCCCCTAAGCCCTAAACCTTAAACCTTCCTAGATGGAATACAGCGTTGCACCTCAAGCCCTGCGCTATACACCCTACACCCCTAAACAGCCCGGAAGATACATATTATTGTCCATAGATGTATAGGGTTTAGGGTTTAGGGTTTAGGGGTTGTATTGGGGTTATATAGGGATAATATTATTGTCCATAGATGTATAGGGTTTAGGGTTTAGGGGTTCTATTGGGGTTATATAGGGATAATATTATTGTCCATAGATGTATAGGGTTTAGGGTTTAGGGTTGGGGGTTATGTTGGGGTTATATAGGGATAATGGAAGAGGAAATGGTAACTACTGCACTATAGTCGGGTATATATTGGGTTGTAGTAGGGAGGAAGGGAATAGATTATATATATATACACCTGTGAACACTAAACCCTGAACTATATATATATATACATGTTGTGTGTGTGTTTTACATACGCTTATGTAAGTAGCCCCTTCAAGGAGGCCTCAAAGTAGAACCCTAAACCCTAAACCCTAAACCCCTAAACCCCTAAACCCTAAACCCCCCTTTAAGGAGGCCCAAAAGTAGAGAGATTTCAAGGCTCAGCAGGCGTGAGATCCGAGAGCGTGGCGTTTTTCTGGCCGGTCAGTGTGCGGGCGCGATCGAGGCCTTGTGCGAAAGTTGGGGTCTTAGGGTTTATAAGATTTGTAGGGTTTAGAGTCCAGGTATTTTGATGTTTATAAGATTTATAGGGTTTAGAGTCCAGGTATTTTGATGTTTATAGGATTTATAGGGTTTTGGGTTTAGGAGTTTAGGGTTTAGGCTTTATAGGGTTTAGGGTTATCGGTGACATTTGGTGGGGCGTAGGGTTTAAAGCTTGCGGTTTAAGGGCTTTAGGGAGCCAGGGTCCAGGGTTTAGAGTTTAGGCTCTTGGGCTTCTGCTTACGGAGGATATTTGGTGGTTTCGCAAAACAAGGGGTACCTTTTTCGGGGGTTCCCATAAGAAGCCACTGTAGCATTTTGGGGTCCCTTTACTCGATAAACTACCATATGTGCAAAAAACCTCATGTCCTCGTGTTTCTCCACTCCCCTGAATTTAGTAGGGGTTTAGGGTTTAGGGTAAGGTATGAAGGTGGTGCAGGATTTCCTTCAGTGACTGGACGCCTGGGGTTGAGAGCCAGGGGTTCAGAGGGTGGATAGAAAACAGTCTGCAGCCATTTTGGACTTGCCAGTTCTCGAAAAGCGGTCACACTTCAGTTGCAATTCTTGTACGTTTTGTTGACACGGTTTATGGACTTCACTCTAAGCCCTTAAACCCTAAACTCTGAACCCTAAACCCTTGAAACCCAAACACTGATTGACATGACTGCAGGTTACGGTTTAGGGTTTGTGAACCGTCACAGTTTAGGGTTCAGTGTAGGGTGAAGGATTCAAGACGAAGTGTTTTCATTGCGTGAAACGTTTAGGCCACTTCGTGGTGCCTGTATCCAAAGGATACGTCTGGGATGGGCGTTTCTATTAAACATTACTCAGTTGTAGACGGATAAACGCAGCCAGGGTCTAGGGCCAAATTGACCCTAAGGGTCCAAGGACCCAAATAATAAGGTTTTAGGGACCAAATGCTATAATATTAATGGAATTTGGGCCCTAAAACCCTATTATTTGGGTCCTTGGACCCTTAGGGTTAGGGCATCTTTCAGAGGGACTAGCTCTGTAGTCCGTAACCTTGTTGCAATCACAGTCCCCCTCCAAGTACAAGTGCATAAAATATTTGTGCATATACATAGATGTCCGGAATACCAGGGAGGCCTGCAGTTAAACGGTAGTTCCCCAAAACTGCTTAAATCCCTTGGCCGAGAAAAGGGTCGCTTAGAGGGTGTGTATGGGGGGTTGTATAGCGGAGCTTGTAAATCTCTGACCATCCCTATATACCTAGCACGCTGAACCCCAGAGCCTACTTAAACAAAACCTAAACCCTCAACCCTGAACCCTAAAACCTACATATCTGAATGGACAGGACGTGAAGCCCGCTGGTCAGATTGTGGAGGAGATGGCGCACACCTTAGAGCCGGGTTTCAGGGATCTGCGTTTCGGGTTCATGAGCTGGCTATATGAGCCATAGTCTAAACTCATTACAGGGGGGATCTATGGGGGTTTATATAGGGGACTACTATAGGGGATATTGTGGGGGGATACTAGGAGTTTAGACTATGGGTCATATATGGATTGCAAACGGGCCTCTGGGATTGATTTCCGGCGGTATATGGTACGGTCTGCAATTGTGTATACGCTTCACATATTTCATCCACATGTACACGCATGTACATGTTCAGGTTAGGGGCGCGCAAACATGTGTACATACATATATATATATATATATGCATACATATATATATATTTATACACATACATATACGTATATGCTTATACATATGCATAGAATATCCATGTATGTAAAGACGGTTTAAGTTTAAGGTTTCGGTTCAACCTTTCGGCTTACAAGTCGATTAGGGTTTCCGTGGGTGTGCGAGCCGAGTGTCTAAGGACTTTAGGGGGGACCCCTAATAGGGACCCTGGTTTAGGGTTTAGGGTTTAGGGTTTAGGTTAATATGGGGACTACCTAGGGATATGGGGGTTATATAGTGACTATATAAGGGTTATATATGGTAATGGGATTAAGGGTCCCTAGTAGGGGATCCCTCCTAATGTCCCTAGAGAGTTCTAAATGTTAGACACAGTAGGCAAGCTGCATGCTTCCCGTGTAGATCGGACACTAAGGGTCCAAGTACTCAACTGAAAGATAATTCGGTCCCAAATGGTACATATACATATATATATATATATACATATATGCATGTCTATATATATATATAGGTACTTTGGGCCCAACTTGCATACTATTCAGGTACTTGGACCCTGAGGGGAGAAACTGTAACGATATCACACACACATACCTTACCTAGACATTTTTCTGAAAGGAGAACTCCCAATAGCCTTGTGTCAAGGTTTGGGTAGTACTTTCGTTTGACCGCGTCAGCCTAAACCCTAAACCCTAAACCCTGACATAACAGGCTGTTGGGCTGGTACAGGTTGCACCTGCGGGTTTCTGTCCAGGACATATAGTATAGGCCTTGTTTTTGGCCCTACCTGTAACCCCAATTACCCGCAGTTTAATCGGTTATTCCTTCTTAAATCGGCAATTAATACGGTATAAGCTGTAGGTACTTGGGGTTGCAGGGAAACAGGGGTATGTTTGAACATAATTTCGATTTGTTGCTACCCGTCATCCCTATATAATCCTTATCAAGACAAAATTCCATTCCTACAGGGCCCCCAAACCTACCCTAGTTTAGGGTTTAAGGTTTTGGGGTTTAGGGTTTAGGGTCTCCACAGGGGCGATCTGAGGATGATCTTTTGAAGCCACCAGTGGATCGCCCTTGTGTGCTGTCAGGACTGAGTCTCTTTGATCCCTTCCCAAAAGCTCCTACGTAATTCCCGTTTGGGCAGCACTTTTTTGCCGCCTATCATCGAACCATAGCAAACGCCCAGAAGCAATTATACGGAAGCCCCTGAGTAGCCCCAAGAGTCCAAGTACGCAGTCGCCACATCCTTCCCCAAAACTTGTGCCGCAACTGCTCCGATGACCAGTTCCAACGTAATGACATGATGAATCTCGCAGCCCAAAATCCCCAGCCTTCAACCAGACAATCACAAGTGATTCCGATAAACATATTAGGGTCGCACTGTTTTTTCCACCACACCGCTTTTAATGCGTGGGCATTCAAGCCAAAGGTAGTCCTCAACCCTAAACCCTGTGAACCCCAAACCCCTAAACCCGTAAACCCGAACCCCTGAACCCCTAAACCCCTAAACCCCAAACCTTAAACCTTAAACTCTACATCCTAAACCCCCAATCCCACCTAA